CTGTGCTCTGTTTGTTTACCCTAGCTCTGTTGTTTGATATTGTTTCCAGGCCCACAGGCTCCCCACCCTAACTGCTGTGGAAGTACCAGATGGAATTGACTGGAAGAAAGTCTCGCAATACGCCATGGACAAGTATGGAAACATTTTCAAAATTAACTTTTTTCTTTTTTTTTTAAATTTTTTTGTCAATTTTCGTTCAAAGCAATTGCTTATCATGAGAAACATAAGGAAATGCAAAATGCACTCTATATGCCAAAAGGTTGTTATGCCTCAAACACAACTGTTACTGTATTTTATATAGGGTTCGACCCGAATGCTGGTATCCATAAGTTTCCATGAGCAAGATAGAAACAGTCAGGATTTGGAACTAATAATCAATATAACCGTACAGATGTATTTTTCAGGTATAAGATAGAGTTGGCTGGTGGTCTAGGGGCCTCGGCAGGAAAAGTGTGGCGACTTGGCTTTATGGGATACAATGCGCAGCCAGAGAATGTGCGAACTACTCTCCGTGTCCTGCAGGAGGGGATCGAATGGTACAGGAATAGTCCCCAGTCTAAGTTGTAGACAGATGGGCCCTCTCATTGGACAAATTAGTATCCAATCGGTGGGCTTGGTACGGATTGTGTGTGGAATATGGCATGGAATCAATCTGATTGAATGCTTCTCTTCTCTGTTGTGCATTTTTTAATTATAAGCCAATTAGTGTTTACTATATGATATTTTCCAAACACCCTTGATAATTGAAACATGCAGTACTTAATAAGCAGTTATTGTGAACATGTGACTAGTTTGAGGCTGTTTGTCATTTATCCATCCCTATCATTCATTTTCCTGACAATTTTCAGAATTGCTCTTGCCCATTTGGTTTTTGCATCAACAAACATGATATATTCGAAACCCTTCTCTTTTCACTTCAGCCAAATTAACATGGAAACATGAATTGCTTTTGAGATTTTTAACTTTGAATGACAAGGATTTTTTTCCATGGTGATTTTATATTTATGCTTGAATAGGCATATAACAATCTCTTGATGTGTTGATATTAACTTTTTGAAAGTACTAAAGAGAAAATTAAACATTACACTTGAACTCTTTCCTTATGCTTCAAGTACGTAAACCAGGGTAGTTATGGCATGAAAAGCAACTCTTACAAATCATTATCATAGTGTTCAGATCATAGCTAAATGCTGCAGCTGTGGCAGTGATGAGAAGCTTCAATCATTCAGATTGATTTGGACTGCTTTTTAGCCCAAATGGCAGGGTTGCCCCCCCCCCCTCTCTTTTTTTTTTTTTTTTTTTTTTTTTTTTGCTAGAGCTTTACCCCTAGACCTAATATTGGAATATATCATTAAGAATATTTATTTGATTTTGTGAAGTATAAACAAAGTTTGAATACAAATCTGAGATGTGTTTTTTATTTAATTATTATTTTTGTCACATATTTGGAGTAATCTTGGAAATTTGTTTGAAAAATGCTAATCAAATTTGCTAGTAGTTGATGGGAGATGGAGAAAAAATTGAAGTCATTGGAAAAAAATTGGTAAGAAGGTGGAATTAGGAATGGATACAGAAACATTTGAATGTTATGCAAATTTAAAATGTTGATTCTTTTAATAGCTGGTCATGATTGACACCCTCTTACTCTGTTATTTTCATTCATTAATTTTAATACAGTGCATAACTTAACTACATTTCTATACAGTGTATGGAGACAAGTTATAACAGAGCTAAATGATAAAGTTACACCATTTTTCACTAGGAAATGAAAATAAGAAAAGGTTCTTGAAGAACAGAACCTACAATTTGGAATTTGGTTATATTTGTTTTAGCCAAATTCTTCTGTAAGGTAAGTGTTGATGAAATGCATATTTTATACATATTTTTTAAATCTTAACAGGAGCAAAGCTGGTGGAGATGCCAAGTAAAAAACAGTTGTGGATAATGTTAACAACTGTTACATTAATGGAAGATGTTGGCAACAATAATGGATTAAGTAAACAACAGTAAAGAGAGAAACAATAAGAATGGAAGATGATAGCAACAATAATGGATTAAGTAAGCAACAAAAATGGATGTGAACAACAATGGAATAAGTAAACAACAATAGAAAATGTAAACAACAACAGTAGAAGATGTACACAACAATAATGGATGAAGTAAACGACAACAATGGAAGTTGTAAACAACAACCATGCAAACAATGAGGAAAACAACAAAGGATTGAATAAGCAGCAAATGAATAAGCAGATAAAGTGATGGTCACAATGATAAAGATTATAACTAGGAATGAACATAAAATCTGAAACAACCAGATAAGAATTATAAAATACTGTTTCAAAATTATGGCTGTGATTTCGTTCATCTCTCTAAATGTTGTCAACATGATGAAATAAAAAAAGAATCCAGAATATAAAGTATTTCGAAAGTATTTTAAAACTTGCTAAGAATTTAAATGCCTTGAAGTGTTTTCATATTTATTTTTCCAATCCTTCAATGTGTAAAATTTGGATGATGGTATTGAGAATGTTAACCCTGATTACAATGACAGCAGAGTTCTTGTTTATCTCTTACTATGATTCACATAAGATGCACTTACTCCATTTATATTTTATTATTTGTAATTTGTTATTTCTTTTCTTATACAAGCGCTATTGTTATATCATACAGTAGGGAGAAAAGGAGGAGATAATACTTGTGTGTGTATATATACTAGTATATTTACAATTTCTTAGTATATAAGATTTTAAATTTCCACTACAGCATTAAATTTAACAGTTAAAATGTAACATATTTGATGAAAATGTCAAGGAATCCTCACACCATTAAGATTGCACTAAATATTTTTTTAAATCAAGTGTTTAATCCTTGTTGATGATATATTTAAATAGATACTATTCTACAAATGTGCACTTTCAGGAGGAGATTTTTTAAAAATTAACTAAAGAGCAGTAGTTTAAAGGTTTGGATTTTAAAAAACTTAAATATTTGTGCATGAAATTTAGTGGGATCTTTACTTTGTATTCGTCCTCATACCTCTCAATTTTGATGGGGACCAAGTGTTCTAGTACTAAAACAGGTCTAGATGCAATGGTTTGCTTATCACATTTTCAATTGACTGATCGATTTGGAGGTTATGCCAAGGAGGTTATGTTTTCACCCCTGTTTGTTTGTTTGCCCGTCTGTCTGTCATCAACATAACTATAAAAGTTATGGACCGATTTTGATGAAATTTTCAGGAACTGTCAGAAATGGGCCAAGGAACAGATGATTAGTTTTTGGTGGTGATCCGGATCAATAATCAATCAGTAATCGGTGGAGACTGCTGCCTTGGCGAAGGTCTGCGCTCTCATATTTATTTTGAATATATGAAATTATGGATAATACGTTTATTATTATGTTAATTATATGTTGATATGATTATGAATAAGAAGACTGCATACTTAATATCTGATAATAAAGTCACAATCTTGTAACTTCTTTGTTTGATTATTATTATTATTATTATCATTACTATTATTATTGATGTGCATTTACCATGATACTCACAGAAATTCAGATGGATTGCATCTTCTAAACTAGCCAATAGTGATGGTACTCCAGTATGTTGGGCACTCTCTATAAGAAGCCCTTGTATTTGCTTACATTAGATAGAAAGACTTCAACCAATTTGTTACTGCTAGAACATACAGAAGGTCAAGATACTGTACCCTCTACCAGGGCTGCAGTTAAATTATGTATACTTTCTCCAGCGCGTCAGCAGAGAATTGTGTTATGAACTGGTCAGAGACATCCGTAATATCTTGTGAAAATTCAATCTGTGACCCTGTTAGAGGCTAGCGGACCGCTACATGTAGTGTGCTTACTGATTTTAAGCATAATTTGCCAACTGAGCAAATTTTTAGCCCTTAATCCCGTTGGGCTCTTTTGTCGAAGTTTGACATTACACAACCAAATAGTTTTAGAAAAGAGTTAAAAAAGAAACCAATGCTTTAAATGTGAGCAAGACGTGACATGATGGGCATTGAATACTGCGAACTCCAAGATGATAGAAATGGGTTAAATTTTCTTGCGGTTAACATATTGATTTAGTTCTTTTTAACTGGGACGCGCGCGTGCACAGAACTTTGCTGTCACAAACATACATTTTAATACTTGATTAGGGCAAGGTTATCAAAATAAAAAGGTGGATAAAACCCAACCTTTAGAATAACAAATCGGAAAACGTGGCACTGACGTTTTGTCCAAAATGAGATTTTCATGTGAATTGTGAATGATAGAAAATTACCCGGGCTGTTTGCCAAGCACTGTCTTCAAAAAAGTGAACCTCTTTCAATATCTTGTACTATGAATATTTTTGTTGGAGAATACTTAAATGACGGTTGTCATTCATCCATTGAAAGTTCAACTGAAATATTGAAGCCTGTTAAAACACTTCATTCTTCATTGTGCCCTATGCGACATTCAAGTCCTTATTTCTTTTACGGCATTTCGTTATGCTAAATTAGTAAAACAAAATATTCATAGAGAAAATATCTGAAGACCTTAGCAACGTTGAAATGAAGAAGATATTTGGCAAGATTTCAACAGAATTTCACCTCTTTGCAACCCCACGTGAAACAGATGGAAATTTGTACCTGTAATAAATTACAATCTCTGCCAATGGATTACGTAATGTTTTCGGATGACGGATCTAATTGAACATGCAAAATCTAACGTTAATTCGCAAACCTGCATATTCTTCTTATCGTAATTCGAGTAGTTTTTCCCCTCAATTGAATCAACCAGTTCAAGTTCATTTCAAGGAGATAGACTTATATATAAGGTTTGATAACCAAGCACCAACTTGAGACAGGTGCTATAGAGCACTGAGAAGAGAGGCCTCTTTTAACAACGCCAACTGAAGAAACAAAAAGACAACAGAATCGCCAGGAAGACAGTGCTACTTATCCTGCTGCTCGTTCGCTTCATTGGGACGGGTGAGTGCTGTCAATTGTCACTTTTGAACATTGCTGTTCATTATTCAGGAAGAAAGTCTGTAACACACTCAGTTATTATAAGACTGGGTTCCCATACTTAGATCGATCCATCTGGATCGACCTAACTTCCAGGGGGGGTTCACGCTAAATTAGCTCAAGAGGGAGCCGAGCGCGTACGAAAGTTAATTACCCCCTAACAGCTTTTAGTAGGCGGGACAGACATTTAAACCGTTAAGTCGACAGCAATTTAGTGAGACTCCCCAGGAAGATGGATCGATCCAAATATCTGTGGGAATGGTCCCTAATAGTTTCTACAAAACGACTTGTGGCCATTAAACGGGCTATTTTCCCCCTCACCAACCATTTTCACCCTTTTTATAGGTAACTGGATTATATTGTATAATATTGCAATAGGAATTACAAAAAGAAATAACGCTTAGAAATTATTTAAAGAGATGTTTTAAAATTGACAATGGGACAAATGGTAAATTATATGACATGTATTTGTTACACTCCTGATAAATTGAAGGAACGGGCAAGATAGTAACAGACCAAGTTTTTAAAACATTTTTAAAACTTCACCGTTGTGAGAGTCAAAAAGTGATGAACATTTAAAAAAATTAAATGCTACATGCAGGAAAAGGATTTCGAAAATGTTAAACAGCCTCTGCTTTAATTTTCGAGAAGAAGAATTTTTAATTTTTAAACTACTGTTCTTCAATACTGTTTATTATGCATTATAATCATAGTAATTGACTGTGTGCAGTAAATCATTTGTCAAAAAATCACTTAAATTTTTTAATCCATATCAATAATGTATTTTAATTGATACTATGTTTACTAACAATTGTAAACTAAATATACCTGGCTTGCCAACTCGACATGTCAGCAGCTTTTTAAAAGTATATCTGAAGAACAGTAGTTAAAAAATTGATTTTTTTAGAGCTGTGCATGCCTAAATTTTAGTCAGTTCTTTACTTTGTGTTCACCATCAAACGTCTCAATTTCGGGGGGGGGGGGGGGGGGGGACCAAGCGTAAAAATGTTCTAACACACTACGTGTAGAACAGAAGATTTAGAAACTAGGAGTTGCTTATCACATTTTTATTTGATTGATAAATTGATTAGTTAATTTTGATTTTCATTCATTATATATGTGTGTGTGTGTGTGTGTGTGTGTGTGTGTGTGTTCTTAAATAAATAAAATGATGGATAAAAAAGACTCTCAGGGGCTTATCTAAACTTTTCTAGTGAAAAATCTATCTAGTGCCATTGCCGATACTAAGCATATAATTTTACCTACTGCACGCTTTTTTAGTCTTAGGCCCTTTTCCCTGTTAAGTCAAATGTTTGACATCACAGAACCAAATAGTTTTAAAAAAAGAATTTAAAAAGAAACCGATGCTTTGAAAGTGAACAAAATGTGATATGATAGGCATTGAACATAGTGAGAGTCAAGACGAAATAAATGGGTTGCATTTTTCTTGTGTTTTTGATATTGATTTAATTCTTTAAAACTGGGACGCGTGACCGTAGGTTTAGAGTCACTAACATTTATTTAAATACTTAATAAGGGCAAGGTTACAAAAATAAATAAGCCTGTATAATAAGAAAAAATATAAAAAATGAGGATTTGCAGATTTGCACGTGAACTGAGAATGATAGAAAGTTACCCAGGCTGGTTGCCAAGCACTGTCTTCAAATTAAAAACCTCTTTTAATTTGTTGTATTATGCCACTATGAGAATACTAAAATGATGATATTCATTTTAAACATTAAAAGTCCAACCAGAGTATTGAAAATTGTTCAATACTACATTGTTAATTGTGTCTTATGAATCTTTAGCGACATTTAAGTTCCTATTTCCTTTATTTTGATATGCTAAAGTATGGAAACAAAATGTAAATATGTCTGATGACCTTAGAAACGTTGAAATCAGTAGATTTTTTTATTAGCTTTCAACAAACAAAAAATCACCTCTTTGCAACCACGTGAAACGAGCGCAAAATTGTTTGTAAAATGCACTTGCAATACTATTACAATCTGTGCCAACTGAGTACCTAATGCTTCGAGTGATAGATCTTACTGAATATTAACATCTAGGGTTAATTTGTAGAACTGCATTTTTAATTAATTGCAAAATCCAATAGCAATACGAATAGTTTTTTCCAATTTAAGCAATAAGCGGGATATTTTAATGAAAGCGGCTTGATTGTTAAAATTAACTAAATCAACTATTACCCCGTGTTTGCTTGTTCACTTATTTCCTATGTTGACAGATTGGGTGATAATGGCGATTAAATGGATAACATCACATCATATGAGATTTAATGTTCCACAATAAATACATCGCAAACAACATTTGAAGCTATCTTCGTAATTATTCTTAAATCCATGCTTGCCGTCGGGCCACTTGGAACATCATAGATGGCTACCCTACGTAGGTTATTACAAAAAGCACACTTAAAAGAACAATCGAATAACTATGAATGTCGGAGAGGATTCATAATTATGGTTACCATTGTTAAGTTTATCCTAGGAAAATCCGTTCTATGCCTGTCGTAAGAGCATGGTACTAGTAAGTAAATCGTGCAACATTTGATGTAAATGTTAGAGGTTATCTATTTCAATAAAAATCATTTTGTCTGACAATCGACTTCATGGTAATCTTTGAGAGTCGAACAGACGCCGGTAGAGGACACGTTTCTAGACAGGGCCCAGCCCGTATATGTCGTCCTAAGAGCACGTTAAGGTCAAGGACGAGCACGCATCAAAGTCAGTTCAAGGAGATGGAGTTTCATAAAAGGGTGGTTAGCCGAGTTCCCTCTTCAAACAGGATCTGAAGATTGCTGAGTAAAACGGTCTCTACCTGAAGCGAATAAAGGCAAAGGAATCACAATGAAGAGATTGGTACTTATCCTGCTGCTTGTTTGCATCATTTCGACTGGTGAGTGTTGTCAGTTGTTACTTGTGAAAATTTCTGTTCGTTAGTTAGGAAACGAGTCTGTCATACACTTAGTTTTTGTAGTAGGTTCTCCAAAACAACAAATGGCAATAAAAGGACATTTTTTCCAGAAGGTCAAGGACGAGCAAGGGAGTTTTTTTATTCTACAAATGTTGATTATATGGACTCAAAATTGATGGACATTTTTTCTTCTTTTCATTTAGGTACGTTCACTTATGGTGTTGAGATAAAATTTGATTTAT